ACACACACACACACACACACACACACACACACACACACACACACACAGGATTAGCACAATGCATACTTTGTGTAGTTTTAGTAGATTTTAATTTAAAAACAAATCCTTGACAGAAAACTATCATAAAGCCAAAATACCACTATTAAAAAAAAATGAAATTATTAATACCATTATTATTTTGTTATCATTGTTGTTTTTATTTTTAACTGAATGGTTCTGTTAAGAGTGACTCATATGTGAAGGCATACACCTGTTTGAATCCGTTATGTTTGTGTTATTTTTATGCTTTTATTTTCTTATTTATTCATCAATTTTTTTTGTCAAAGCCCAAAAACTCACCGTGCATTGCGAGAAGACATTCAATATGTGACAAATGGGACAGAAAGAGAAATTTATTATAAACTTTGCACTTTTAAGTTATAGATTTTGTAGTTGATCAATATTGCATAAATCAATAACAGCAAATCATTAATTGAATACTTGTGTGTTGTAAGTTTTAAGCTTTAGCCCATCAGTCTGTTAAGAATGACTCTAATTTCCTGGTATTTCTGTCCAACCTTCGTTTTGCCCTTTATTCAAAGCATTGAAAATGTTCAGCTACAATGTGATATTCCTTAAAGGGAAATAAGTACTGCCTTTTCACTTTTGCTTTACATCACAAAAATGTCCAAAACATGGGGTTACGTTCTGAGACATTTTAAAAACTCCATCGTAAATGCCATTTACCGACTAGTCTCCAACAGTCACAGCCTAGTGAGATACTCCCCTTGGGGTTTAAAAGTAAAGAGGGGGAGGGCGTGAAATGGAACTAGGGTCACCTGGATGGCAGTCTGCTTGACTTTTTGTCCTCCTGGCTGCATCCATCTCCCCTTTAGAGAGTCACCAACTTTCCATCTGCAAGACTTTATCATCTATGTTCTTCATTTTGGGTCATAATACACCTGACCCCGTCCAGTAGGCTTTTCTTTCAACATACACATGACAGAGCTCATTACGTTAAACCCAGACCCTCTTTAGATGAAGATATTTCCCACTGCTTGTACCTGAAGGTTTTCGTCACGGTCCACAACTTGTGATCAAAAGTAAGACAGACACCTCCATCTTTACAATAGAGCAGGTTCCATAACTGCAGATCTGTCAGCCAGTGGACCTCTCCCTTTGTTCATCTGTGAATAAGAACCTGAGAGACATAAACTTTATTTAAGACAATAACTCGTTGAAAATATGTTATGTAGGAGCAAAGCCACAGTTTTTCCTGCTGAAAATCAAGACGACCTCAGATGTTTGGAGAAAAGCAAAGTTAACAGATTTTTAGTGTCATGAATAGAAACAAGCAGAGAGGAGACAGATGTTCTATAGAGGAGTGTGGGGGAAGAAAATAAAAAAAGATACGTCTGAATCCTTATCTCATTCATTCATCCTTTATTTATACAGGTTAGTCTCACTGAGCCTCGAGGGCTCATTTACAAGGGAGACCATGGATTCATAGACTTCACTGCCAGGGGGAAATGTGTCTTGTACACAGACATTTCTTGGAGAAACAAAAAAGAATTGAATAAATAAAATTCTTGCATCTTTTAAAACGCAACACCAGGACCGTTGTTGCTGAAATGAACTTTGAAATGATACAAGAAGTTTATTGTCATGTACAGAGTTGTATAACGTTTATTATGATGGATTGCCTGTTGTTAACAGTCTCCCGTTTCATTGTACATTTGAAATAGTGCCACAGTCATTGTGTGAAAAACATTCATCATTCTAAACGTCTCAAGTTAAAATAAGGGCCAGCATTCACACTAGAGCTTTAAATATCTTCAGACTGAGGCCAAAACACATGATGAGCAGCGTGTGGCGTCGCTCTCTCCTTGGGATGGCAATTATTCATCCAACACACCGCAGACTGGTGGCTTAGGCAAAAACGAATCGTGCAGCAGGCACAAAGAAATGACTTCTAAATTACAGCACATTCAACTGGGAGACTGTGTGTACTGTGAATTGTTTAAATCAGTTTTTAAATTTATGTCAAACTGTTGCCAATCTGATGGTTTCATTACGTGTTAAGTGTTTCATAAATCAGCTGTGCAAAAGTCATTGTACGCTCAAAAAAAAGTGGATAATTTGTACTTTAAACTAGTTCGTGAAATTAACCAGTTTAAAATGTACAAAAAACCCCACTACATCAGCATCAGGTTAAACCATACTTGACAGGTTTCACCTGCCTGAAGAGGTCCACTGAGGTTCAGCAGGTTTTTACAGATCGTGTACAGTACATAAAGTAGCCAGAGTCTGATGTGTTAGCATGCTAGTTATTACTGTCATCCACATAACAATAATTATAATAATATTAATATAATAAATAACATAATAACAATCAGTTCAATTCAGTTTGTTTATATAGCGCCAAGTCACAACAGCTCGTGGCACCGAACAGAAACATTCCCATTCATATAAAGTCAGTTAATAACATTATTT